TAAATTATCTAGATCCTCAAGATCAACCTTTTTATAATAATACATTACTGCCTCATTCATTTGGTCCATATATAATTGTAAAATTTTAGATGTTATATATTTTTGCAAAACATTATATATATTTAGAAAAAGTCATCTAGAAATATTAGGTGTTATATATGATGTTGTTTTTTCACACCAAGCTACAAACCGACTTGCGAATTGTTCTTCTGCAACATGTAATTCAATTCATTTGAACAAGGTATAAAGTTGTGTTTTTTCATTTATAGCCTGTTTAATTATGCCATTTATTGATTCTGACCATTGGGTAGATATTATTCCTGCTATAAAAACCCAGTCTGTAAATGCTTTTGCTCAGGTTGTTTTATACGGATCAAGCTGCCTAAGTAAGTATTCAGTTGATTCTGAAAAATCAATCATTAGCTGTTTCCAATATCTCTCGAATGTTTCTTTACATAAAATGTTTCAAGCACAATAAAATATCTTAATAAAATCTGAATAACAGTCACCAAGAAGCTTTGCAAGCTGCTTTTCAAGATTATGGCCAATGTGCCAAACATAATGAAGAAGGTAGGTATTAGTGTATATTTCAGGAACAACACTTTCAAGATCTAGGTCTGCATCGATCATAAAGTTGCCGGGCTAGACTTCTGTAGCTTCAATTGTTTGCTGTAGAACCTATCTATAACTTTCACTTGTTTCATCAGGCAATATAGCCTGTGCAATGATCTGTGATCTAAAATTATTGTCTACAATAGCAAAAATGCTTAATGGCAAATTATAGGTATTAGTTGCTGCTGTATTATCATTTAAAATGATATCTGCATAACGTCACCAAAGTTCTTTTTGTTCAGGAGTCATACAGAACACACCCTGTAATCTATTTGTTTCTGGATCAATCCATGATTGAACATACCAATCGGGGTTCTTGGCATGCTCTTTTTCAAAGTACTGTAAAAGATTTGCAGCATCACCACCCTCTATTTCATGAGCATGGCAAAACTTATATATATAGTTTTTCACATTATAATCCACAATTGTTGCTTCAGAAAATAATCCACAAAGTAACTTAATCTAAGATGATATATCAAGATTACAAAGCATATAGCTTTCAATAAGCTCCTTCATTTCTGTAGTAAGTTTTCAGTAGTAAGTAGCAAAGCTAGTATTTTCAGAAACTAGCTGGTGACTGTGTTCAAGATGCATTGACGTCAACTTAATTATAGTTTCATTATCAGGCCCCTTACTCTTGGACGCATTCACAAGGAAAGAACAACCAATTTTTTTTTGATCCCTTATTTCTTTGCTTTTCAGGTGGAGAAGTTTTATATGATACATATTTATCAGATCGTTCACAGTCCCAGGTACGTTGGCATAGATCACAGCTATTATCTACCCACTTCTTTCTAATCACAAAATTATTTTGACATGCATAATGTTCTAGTGTCTCTTGATATTCTTTCTATGTTTCAAAGGTTTTTTCACAATAGAGTTCAATATGAATGGTAGGTGACCAAGTTGATTATTATCAGTATCATTAGAGATGCACTTGTCATTATATGGTTCACCATTAATATCAACGTCCTTGTCAAGTTCAATATCAATGTCCTCGTCAAGTTTAATATCAGGTTCATTTTCTGTATCTTTCTTAAGTTCAATTCTAAGTTCGCCTTCAGTATCCTTTTTAAATTTAGAATTATTATCATTTTCAATTCCAACATATGAAG